ACTTCACGGCAGACTTAAAAAATGGGGCAGGTTGTCTGTTGGCAGGGAAGGGGCGACCAAACAGCATCATTACCAAGGACATGGGCTGTCGGATAAGCCAGGGTTCACATCCCAGCCAGGTCATGTGACGGCTGTGAGCCCTTGGGTGAGGTAAGCCCAAACGTCTTTAGCTGAAAAATGGGAATGAAAATGTTAAGTCCACAGAGCCGTTGTACAATAACCACTTTAAATGTAAATTCGTAAGAAACAGGGGCACCTGGGTGGCTCAGGTGGTGAAGCGTCCGACTTCGGCTCAGGTCATGATCTCATGGTTCATGGGTTCGAGCCCCGCGTTGGGCTCTGTGCTGACAGCTCAGAGCCTGGAGCTGCTTCGGAGTCTGTCTCCCTCTCTCCCGGCCCCTCCCCTGCTCATGTCCTATCTCTCTCTCTCAAAAATAAATAAACATTAAAAAAAATATGTAAGAAAGTTGGGACAGATTAAAAAAAACCTTCTTGAGTGTAATTTCCACATTGATCATGTATTACTTTAGGGAAAATGCAGCTGTCCTCAGCTGAGTACACCACACAGAGGGGAAGTGCTCACACAGGAAGGCCTGAAGGGACACGCGCGGACGAGCTAGGGTCACCACACCTGCACAGGGAAGCAGGGCGCTGGGAAAGCTTGCGCTTTCTGCTTCACACGTTTGGATGATGCTCCGACGTCATTGCTTTCATTTATTTTTATTTTTAAATTGTATTAAGTTAAAAAATGTAATTCCAGTGTGGTTAACATATGGTGTTATGCTCGCTTCAGGCATGTCATATGGTGACTCGTGCAGGGGAAAATCGTCATGACTTTGGGTTTGGCAAAGACTTTCTGGATACGATACTAAATCCATAGTGTCATCTGGGACTTCATGGAAAGCAAATGCTTTCATGTGTCGAGGATGCCATTGAGAGAGTGAAAATATTTTCTCTCATAGAATTTCTCCCGTTGCATGGGTGAGAGTATTTGCCAATCCTATAGCTGATGACGGGTTAATGTTCAGAATATATAAAAAACTTCTACGACTCAACAAGAAAAAAACCAAATAGCCCAAGTCAAAGGAGTTGACTAGACATTTCTCCAGAGAAAATCTTCACACGGCCAACAAGCATTGAAAGCTGCTCAGCACCATAGTCGCTGGGAAACACGAATCAAAACTACAATGAGCTACCCCTTCACACATTACGATGGCTGCTTCCGAAAACCCCAGAAAATAACAAATGTTGGAAAAGACAGAGAAACTAGACTGCGGGTGCCCTGAAATGGCGGGGCCGCCGTGGAGAACGGTGTGGCTGTTCCTCGAGAGGGGAAACACGATTCCATGTGACCCAGCAACTCCGCTCTGGGTCTGCACCCCACGCAAAGGAAAGCAGAAACGCAGAGGGCTGTCCGAGCACCCACATTCGCAGCAGCAGCACGCACTGTGGTTGGAAGTTGGAAGCCACCTGAGTGCCCACGGGCAGGTGGTGGGTACACAGAACGTGGCCTCTGCACACGACGGAGGGCGGCCAGCCCTCAAAAGGAAGGAAGTTCTGCTGCCTGCTCCGTGGTGGGCCTGGAGGATGCTATTCTAGGTGCGGGAGTCCAGTCCCAGGGGGACGAGCACCGTGTGATGCCATCGTGAGGCCCCTAGGCCCCCCCCGCGGGGACCGTGAGTGGGTGGGAGGTGGTGCGTCCCTCACCGAGATGCTGGTGGCCGAGGTGCACGTGTGAGCAAAATGCGACTGCCGACGGGGAGGAGGTGTTGGACACACGGCCGCGCAGGCGCCGGTGGGTCGGGTGATGCACACCACACGGTGAGGTCCCCAGTCCCCAGGCCTCTGACAATAAAGGACACGCTTCCCTGAACGCACACGGGGCTTTCTGAACAGCAGGCGCCGCGGGGAGGCGGTGGCGTTCACTCACTGCAGCGCCGTGGCCGGGTGGGGGTCCGTGATGGCCCCCACGAGTGACACGGCCGGTAAGCAGCCACCACTTCACGGTGGCCCGGGAAGAACGGCCCTGGAGGCTCCGTCCGCCTGGCGCTCACGATTCCTTCAAACAACTGCGATGAGAAAACAAACAAGCCTGGCCAGAGAGACGCCCCTGACACACAGGGACCAAGCACAGCTCTGGGAAACGCCTCGCCGCGAGAGCGCTCTGCGGGGGGAGAGCAGCGCGCTCCCCAAACTGGGTCTGATGCAAAGTACGCCACGAGCCGGAAGTGCCCCGGCTGCCACGGCAGAGACGCGCAGAAGAGGGTCACGGCCAGGCCGGGGCAGGCCGTTTGCTTTGATTTCAACCCGCCTTGTCCGCCTGCTAACAAACCAGGCAGTGGAGAAAGCACCCGAGTGACACCTCGCTCATTCTCAGAGGCCCCGGCAGAGCACGGGGTCCCCGGGGCCGTGTGAATGCTGCACGGGGCCCGACGCCCCTGCCTTGCCGGGTCCTGCGTCAGCGCTGGCCGCGCCAGGGAGCTTGTGAAAGGCATTCTTTGGTTCTCGTGCAGTTCGTTCCTTCGAAGAAAAGGAAAACGGAAGAAAGGTTTCGTGTCCAGGCTCCGGGCCTTTGATCATTTGATGAGTGCGGGGTCTGCACGCGGCCTCTGGCTCTCAGGCTGGACAAAGGCGGCCCGGGCGCCGTGGGCAGGGCGAGCTCGGCCAGAACAAAACCCGGCCGGCAGCGCAGTGTGGTGGCCTGGGAAAGACCCACCTCGGCCTGCGAGGGGCCGTCCTGCCCTTTGATCTCTCCTGAGCCCTCGGCCCAGGCCCCCGGTCAGGGGGTTTCCCAGCACACGCCCCCTGGGCGGAGGGGAGCAGGTCAAGGACAGAACGGGGGTGACTGATCCCGGCAAGGGCCTAGAGGCCGCCCTCTGTGGCCGGCTCCCCCTGGCTGGGCTCCATTGTCGTCGGCCGCCCCGCACTCGAGGTGGAATGTGACGCGACACGGTGCAGCGGAGCGGTCGGTGCCGGGCGGGGGCTGGGACAATGCCGCCCGCCCCGCCCCCAGCCGGTCCTCAGGCTGGAACGTCCTCGGCGGAGCCTCTTGTGAAGCGGGGCCTGTGCCTCTTAGAATCCCTGCGGCATCGCGGCACCATGGGGGGCCCCGGGGCGACCCCGCAGTTCTGGGAAAGTGGTGGCGAGCGGGGCTCTACCCTGACGCGAACCCACAGAGGCAGCGGCTCAGACACGAGCGGGTCTGCGTCCTTCGGGAGGAATTCTGATGTAACAGGAGGCAGAGAACGGAGGGAAGGCCGGTGTGAGCGAAGGAACGGAATTCAGGTGAGGGCTCCGAGCCCCCAATGACTGCAAACTTGCACATGAAAAGAGGTATTTGATAAGATGCAGGGGCATTAGTAGGTTGGAAACTTAACTAAAAACGTTAGGGTTATGCTCTGCTCTAAATCCGAACATGTCATTCAACACAGTGTCAGATCCTTTTTCCTTTTGCTTCAGCCTCTTTGCTTGCCCACGGCCTGCACTCAGCTCATGGAGGCTGCTTACAATAGTACTGGAGGGCGCCAAGCCGCTTTCAGTCTCCCCCCTGGCGTCCAGCCAGGAAGCCGCGGAAGCCAAGCGGGCGCGGGCGGCCCTGTTCGTCCTGGTCCTCAGCGTACGGCCGCGGGGCGCAGGTGCTCCCGCACACCTGTACCCTCGGTCTGGGACGTGCGCCGCGTCTCTCCTTTTTCACCACAAGAAAGTGGAGTAAGGAAAATGCTTACCTTAGAGTTGCCAGCATCTGCGTGAAAATGTACTGGAACTCATTTCTTTTTTTTAAATTATTACAATTTTTTAAACGTTTGCTTATTTTTGAGAAAGCGTGAGCAGGGGAGGGGCAGAGAGAGGGAGACACAGAATCTGAAGCAGCTCCAGGCTCTGAGCTGTCAGCACAGAGCCCGACGCGGGGCTCGAACCCACAGACACGAGATCGTGACCTAAGCCACGTCGGATGCTCAGCCGACAGGCCCCCAGGTGCCCTGGACTCATTTCTATGATCAGCGTCTGCTCCTGTTTCTGGAAGGCAGGGGCCTGTCTGTGCGGACGTGTGTGTGTGTGTGTGTGTGTGTGGAGGGGGGCACACTGGTTCGTGGGGGAGAGAGAGGGGAGGTGCCCCCGCAGCTGGGCCTCCTTCCACAGCCCGTGGGACCTGCACCACCGGAGAGGCGGGGTTTTCTCGGAGCAGCTTCGGGAAGGCAGCAGGATTCCTCGGTTGCCATGGCGATTTGCATGTGACTGTCCAAGAGGCGGGCCCAACACAAGTGTCTCCCTGAGCTGGACTGTGGGGCACACTCCCTGGTCCCTAAGGAGACCCCTCATGGGTTTGTTCCTGAGGCCACGTCCTGGGAGATGCAGACTAGCTCAGTGTCCCACGTCGTGCGAGCGAAGGGGCCGGAGGGTTAAGCTCTGCTCTCCCCATGCTCCTCCCCGTTCTCCCAGTGGGACCCTGCTCCCCATGCTCCTCCCCGTGCTCCCGGCGGGGCCGCGCTCCCCGTGGCCCCTGCTCCCGGGCACTGCGGGCACCCGTGCCTTCTGGCGGTGACGCTCGGGGTGCAAGTCCCCTTGCTGCGTGTGGAGGAGGAGATCCAGGAGGGGAGGCCGCTTCGATGCGAGTGTGTTGGATGGGGTGTTTGGGGTGTCACGTGGGATAAGACGGGTCGAGTCGGCCGCAGTCACCCCCAGAGGTTTAGGGGAGTCTGGAGTGACCCACACTACTCTGCAGCTGGGCTACGCCAGCCCTTCAAGGACGCCACGAACTGCACTGAAAGACCCACGTGTTGCCTTTGCCCCGTCGCCACGCTCCTCACGACTCGCCCGCAGGTAGTCACCCGGCCCCTACTGTGCGCCAGGCCCCCGCCCTCAGAAATAGCGTGCTTGCTGCAAGCGGATTCGGAAGGGACAAGCGCTGATGCCCCCCGAGGCCGCGAGAGCGTCGCCCCAGGTTGCCACAGCAGCGCCAGCCCAGCTCGCCCGACAAAGCAGCCCGCTGGGCGCCTCACCTTTGGCCATCTTGTTGAGAACCATGTCGATCAGGACGTAGGTGCCGCTCCTGCCCGCGCCGTCACTGCCAACGGAAGGGGAGAGGTGAGAACACGCCGGGGCCACGTGAACCGCGCCCACCAGAGCCAGCAGACAGCCCGTTCCCCCTGCATCGAAGGGGGGTTGTGCAGGGGGAGGGCACCGTGAATGTGGGAGACAGAGGAAGAAAGCGGGGCAAGGATCACTGGGTGGGGGAGGGGAGGATGAGGGGCAGGGGTGGGGGAGGGAGGAGGGAGGAGGAGGCGGGGAGGAGGAGGAGGGGAAGGGAAACGGAGGAGGAGGGAGGGGGCATAACACCCCCCCCCCCGCAGCTGCGATTAGCTATGGCGCCTGCGTAGATTTGCTCCTGTCTTCCTTTCTCCTCCCAGAGCCGAGGGGCCTCGGCTGCTCTGACACCAAGGTGCCCTCCACGCCCTCCCCCTGCACCCAGGACACCTGTGTCCCCAGGCGCTCCCTTCGGCTCTGACAGACACACAGTGCAGTCCGCACCGGTCCCGCACAGACCCACACAGAAGCACGTGGACTCACGTGGTCACCAGGCCCCCAGCACACACACACAGTTACACAGTCACACACCCGCGCAAACACGCACACACAGAGACACGTGCACACGTGTCAACTGAACTGACACACTTGGGGTCTGATCCTTGGAGACCTGCTTCTGTTTTCTCCCAGCAGAGAGGAGCCCGCTATGGAACGGAGCTCGGCTCTTCACCCAAAGCGGGGGGGTGGGTGGGGTGTGTTTGTGTGAAGCCCAGGGCGCCAGAGCACCCCCACCCGAGCGTCTGAGCACCGCTACTTACCGGGGTGAGTGTAGCCCATTTGGGTTTTGCCCAAAGGCCAGACTCACGTAATCAACTGGGGGTGGCCGCCCTCCATAAGGGCAGTCTGTCCCTCCTCCTAAGGCCGCAAGCAGCTCTCAGCAGCTCGGCCCCACACCGCAGCTGAGGGACCGGTGGCTCAGACACGGCCACGGCCACAGGCACCGGCTCAAGGGTTTTAAGAAAATCTAGGGCAGCGGGACCCAGGCAGCTGGGAACTGGCTGTGGGACCGCTCGGTGGCTCTCGGGAGAGAAAGCAGGCTGCCTGCCGCTCATGCAGGGGTGAGAGCAGTGAACACACAGCAGCGTTTAGCTCGGGGCCTAGAGGATGACGGCTGTGTCTCTGGTTCCCTTCGGAAGCGCCAGTGAGGCGCACTGAGTAGGCAGAGAGGGACTTGCACACTCCGGCGGGCTTTGGAGGCGCGAGCGTGTGAATCCACGTGAGAACTTGTACTTGCCTGCAGTGAACAATTATTGGACAAGAACGGCCCCTGTAGCACTTGTTTACTTTTCTGAAACAAAAAGAGACAGAAATTACAGTTATGCACCACAACTCCCATCTCCAGTTCACAAAGTAACTCCTAAGCCACAGCAGACGGACCCGATCTGTGGCACCATTTACAATAGCCTGAGTTGACAAAGAAAGTCAAAATCACACACGTTTTCAAAGATTTATTTTTCTTTTCAGTTTTAAGTTATTAAACAGAGCTTTAAAAACAATTCTTACATTTTCACAACTTTCCTTACCCCTGACAAGCAGGACCCTGATGGCTGGGACTTCTGCCTGCCACGCCCCCGCCACGCCCCTGCCACGCCCCCGCCACACCCCAGCCACACGTCTGCGGCTCCCCTAAGGTTGACTTTTTTGTTGTGATGTGAGTGTCTATACTCTGCTAAAATTGGTGAGTTCTGCAGTTTAGTGCTCAAAGTTTCTTACATTCTCCACGTCATATTTGAATGTAATATGACTCTATTGTCTCAACACAGCAGCTTAAAGGTCCTTTTTGATGCGTGTGCAGTGGGTCGGGGGTGTCTACACTGCACAGAAGCCTGTGCCACATCAGAGAGAAGTCCTTCCTTTGTACGCACTTGAACATGTTGATAAACACCTTTGTTGTGCAGATTTCAGATCAGGATTTATGAAAATTGACAAGGAGCATAGGTTATTTCGTGACCAAGCCCTAACTAACTCAAAACAGAGGGCTGATTTAAAATTCACTGTGTGAGCTCCAAATTTGCTGTAAGTCAGTGAAACAACTAAACTTGCTTACAAAGTACATCAAAATTCTCAGTAAAATGGTTCTGAATAGAGAAAAGTAAATGAAAAAAATGTGGGGGGGCTGTGTTCTAAATTACTCTGTATGAATTTCTACAACGTATGATGTGAAGCAAAACAAAAAAAGTAAGAAAAACGGTGCAAAAAAAGAACGTTTCCCTTGCACCAGATTTCTTTGCGAAGGCTTGCGCACACCGTCACGGGTGGCCTGGCCTCGGGGAGCTGTCGGAGGGGGAGGGGGCTGGGGGAGAGGGCGGCCGGCCCAGGCGCGGAGCCCCAGGCGCAGAACTGGTTGTTTCAATTTCCTCTACGGGGTGAACAACGAGGCCCCGTGCCCTGCCCCCCCAAGCATGAGGGGAGCCCAGGCGTGAAAAGCCCCTCACACGGCCGCACCCACGCCTCTGGGGCAGCACGGGATCTAGGCCCGCCCCTGCAGCAGTTACAGCTCACAGAACGCCGACGTCTTACAAACGAGAAGACCCACAAACGTGGGTCGGACAGGCTGCTCGGTGTCCCCAGGGCCACGGTGCATTTCTGCTGGAGCTGTGGCTCACGGTGGAGGGACGCGCCGATGTTAGGGCATAGCGGGAGGGTGAAGGAGGCACAGGCAGGCCACGGCGCCCTCAAAGTTCGTGGGCCTTTGAGAACAAAACAGATTGGAAAATAGATCCACTAATTTCTCCTAAAACTTTCCATTCTTGGGGCGCCCGGCTGGCTCAGTCAGTAGAGCCAGTGACTCCTGGTCTTGGGGTTGTGAGTTCCAGCCCCACGTTGGGTGTAAAGATTACTTAAAAACTAAAAAAAAAAATCTTCAAACTCCCATCCTTGACTTGGGCCGTAAAGTCAACACAAGCTTTGGGTAAAGTCAACACAAGCTTTGGGTTTGCCAAAATAGAAGCCAGACTCCAGGATGTACCTCAGATGTGAGCAACGCGAGGCCCGCCAGCTCAGCCAAGGCTGTGTGTGCGCATGCCCTGGGTGTGTGTGTGCACACGCGCACTGTATGCATGTGTGTGTGTACTCACAATGTGCACGTGTGTACACACTGTGTGCGCATGCACCGTGTGGATGTGTGTGTATGCACCGTGTGCGTGTGTGCCCCGTGTGCACTGTGTGTGCATGTGTCCTGTGTGCATGTGTGTGTACGCACGGTGTGCATGTATGTACACACTGTGTGTGTGTGTGCCCTGTGTTCATGTGTGAATATGCACTGAGTACAAGAGCACCCTGTGTGTGCACATGTGTGTACACACTGTGTGAGTGTGTGCCCTGTGTGTATGCACTGTGTGCAAGTGTGCCTTGTGTGTGTATGCGGTGTGCAAGTGTGCATGGCCTGTGTGTGCATGTATATATTCACTGTGTGTGTGCCCTGTGTGTGCATGTATGTGTACACATTGCGTGCATGTGCACCCTGTGTGCATGTGTGTGTACGCACTATGTGTGTGCATGGCCTGTATGTACACGTACTGTGTGCATGTGCACCGTGTGTGCATGTGTATGTACACACTGTGTATGCACCCTGTGTATGTACGCACACACCATGTGTGCATGTGTGCCGTGTGTGCATGTGTACCCTGTGTGTGCGTGGGTGTGCATGTGCACTCGCGCCCTGTATGTGTATGTGTGTGTACTCACTATGTGCAGAATGTAGCAAGGTCAGAGACTAGGTCGAGGATGGTTTTATTTTTATAGACCTTTTACTTTCGAACAGAAGATTTTACTAGAAATCTCTCAGTCGCTGAATCTTTTTAGACGTGAGACTCCAAAGTTCTGTTACACTTGGTTGTCCACTCTGTGTTTGTAGAGACTAACCCAACTTCTGCACGTTCACACCCTGGTCAGTCACCAGGTTTTGGTCATTTTTTTTTCTGATGGGGCCACGTACAAAAATAGTAAATGAAAGAAAAGAAACAAATAATAACGAGACACCTTGTCTGAAGCGTACGGCTTTCAGGCAACTGTAACCGGGAGGAGAAGGGCCCCTTCAGCACGGGAAGCGCGAGGAAGGACTCCTGGCGTCTGCGACCGCAGCTTCTCCGTTCCTGCGGCCCGTGTTCTCATTTTATAGCGCATTTAAAGTACGGCTTTCTCCAGCGCGCTGTGACTGGCTGCTGGCGTGGCCCACGGAGCTTTCGCTGTCATCTTAGTGTCCCTGCTAGCCGCCCCCCCCCCCCCCCCCCCCCCCCCCCCCCCCCCCCCCCCCCCCCCCCCCCCCCCCCCCGCTAAACCTATCCACAAAGGGCCACGAGCGATCGAGGAGATGCAGCGTGGAAACAATGAGCCGCGTGGCTGAGAATTTTATTTACGAAAAATCACGTGCTTGTCTCATCGCGACGGAAACCGTCACAAATAGAAGGGCGGGCGCATCCCATCGTCAACAAAAGCGTTCATTCACCTGGTCGACCCAAGATAGAGACGCGGGTTATTCATGAAGGTGAGCCAGACACAGCTGTCCTGTTTCACTCGATTAGAACAAATCATCAGTAAGCAAACGGTTGCAAACATGGAGAAAAATGGATATTAGATATATTTCAACAGGAGGCATTCACTGAGAAAGAACGATTAGTAATACAAACCGACCCCCGGGTCACTGAGGGAGAAGGAGCCGGCATGCAACCCACAGCGAGCAAAGGTCAGAGGTCGTGAGAGGCTCAGGAAGGGGGCTCCCCACACTGCCGGGCAGCAGAGTCACAGCCTCCAATGATCACTTTTGTGACTATGCAACTGGGCTCATATTACTAGCTGCAACATCACAAAAATGACACTGGCCACCGCTCATTAGCTGGCAAAGTAAGGGTCTGTCCATTTCTACAGGGATCAGCGTTGGGAGTGCCGTTGCACACAGCAAGAAGTGAGAGAGTCAGAGAGAGAGACGGAGGGAGAAAGAGAGAGATAATTTTTAAAAGCAAAGCCCTCACATGTGATGCTAATGATCTCAGCTTCGGCAGTTTCTCTTTAAAGTGTAAATGTGCTCCCTCTGGGCTCCAGAAGTGTGTAATTACACATCCCAGTGCCTGACGCACACACTGGCCGGAGCGAGGGAAGGCGGGGCGAGTGTGCGGGGCGGGGGAGGAAACCTGTGCGTAAGGTGACCAGTGTCTTCAGAAGCTGGCGCCCCTTTCCGATGGCTGAGCTTTGGGCGGCTCTTTCACCCAGAAAACCGCAAAGCGGCAATCCGTGCCTGAGCACGACGCTCCCGAGATCGTGGCGGCTCACGCCCTTTGTCGGGCTAGTCCCTGATGGGCAGGCTGGTCTGGAAGCCTGGGTGGTGCCAAATGAGGCAAGCCGGCAAAGCTCCAAAGCTCCGGGTGTGAAGAGACTTGCAAATTTCGATTTAACAGAAACCTTCTGGGGCCTTATCTCCTAAGCCTCTGGGGAAAAGGAACTTGGGCGATCGGTGTTTTTCCATGGCGGGTGATAAGCAGGATGGCTGGCCGTGTATTGTTCAGGTCCATATATGGATCCGGACGCGGACGGGCGCCCATATGCATATATGTACAAACACACCGCGGGAGCATAGAGACAGGGGTCCAAATGAAGTGCTATCTGTGTAGCCACATCCATTTTGCCAGTAATGACTCTATTTTGAAGGCTCTATCCCAGGAAATGTGCCCTAGGTGAGATTTTTAGATAGCACGTCTTTAGAAATGAATTTGTATTACGAAAGCGTATAAAATAGCCAGGAAGCTGGGATGGGGCGGGAAGGAACTGTGTGGGGCCGGGGCTCCGGGATGTGTGCAGGACTGGACACAGCGTGCGCCCTCCACCTCTCCCGGCGAGGTGACGGGGCTAGGGGAGGTCCCCAAGCGTGCACCTCGGCCGTGACGCCTGGTGCGTGTCTCTCCTTGAGCTTTCACGTGCTCTTTGATCCAAAGAACCATTCGAATAAAAAAAATTTTTGTTCTGCTTTTCAAAGTAGACTTAAAGGCAAAAGAAACAGTATCATAATAACCTTGAGAATGCCTCACACAGAAATTCAAGCAATCCAGAGAGAAGCCTGAAAGCCCCTCTCTCCAACGACACTGTGCATTCCAGGATGAACACCCTGAAGACACAAACCACCTCACGACTGTGTACGATGCTGGGTCAAGGTGTGTCTAATTTCCTAATTCCTTGTTTTGGATATTTGTCTGAGTTTGTTACTAAGTAGGTTCCCACCAGTGATGTGTAAGGGAGGCTCTGCACAACGGAGAGCGTGCTTAGCGTGCTTCATGTGCTGCTCGAGACCCGCATGTGCTTGGTGGGTGCTGCTGCACCCCTGTACTGTGGCCAGTGCTGACCAAGCGCTATCGCCGAACCCGACGGACAGTCAGGCTTCCATCGGACAATTCCCCCTTTTCTGCCTCGTTACTGCCTTCCTGAAAGATGGCGCCCAGCACTCAACCCACAGGTCAATAAATACACTTGTAAGCAACACAGCCCCCTCGGCGACTGGCTAACCATGGTGTGAACAACAACTGGATGTTTTCAGACTGTTGGCTTCAAATTGCGCTAAAATACACATGGTCATGCGCTAATTCCATCCAGGCTCCCCTGCCCGAGGTCCAAGGTCATCCGGGGTAGAATCTGGGCCCACACTTGTTACGTCGCTTCATTGTGTCCAACCAGAAAGTCTCCAAGCTAACCATCTACCTTTTCCTCATCATCACCCGTGAGGCATAAACTCTAGGACGCTACCACTTAGAGAATCTAATCAGAAATGACGACCTTATTTCCACAGTTCTAAGGTATCTCTGTTCCCCATTTTAACTCCTCTAAAACCAGAAAACATCTTGCGGTTAATATGTACCATCGATATAATTCCCCTCTCCTCCCCTCTCTCATATATCGTGTAAATACAGTTGACCCTGAACAGCATGGCGTTGAACTGTGTGGGTCCACTGATGTGCGCATTTTTGTTTGATAAATACAAGGCAGCGCTGAAAATGTATGGTCTCTTCCCGGGGATTTTCTTAATCACGTTTTCTTTTTTCCAGCGCACTTCACCGTAAGAATGCCGTGCATGACACACAGGATACACGAAATATTGTTAACTGACTCTAGTTCATCGATAAGGCTTCCGGTGTACAGCGGGCTGTCAGTAGCTAGGTTTCAGGGGAGTCAAAGGTTAAAGGTGTATTTTCAACTGTGTATGGGGCTCCGTGCACAACGCCATGTTGCTCAAGGGTCAGTTGTATATTTATAACATATACAAATATAAAACAGATGGCGTGTCTTATAGCAAACGGTCCCTTAGACGCAGGAGAGCTGTGGCCACACTGCGTCCCCTCCTACCCGACGCCCGCACTGCGAATGCGCTAACTAACCCCTGGTGCCCCGTCGGTCGTACCTGCGGAAGTCCAGGAGGGATCTCGCGGAGGAAGGCACCCCGCGGTCGCACCAGCTCAGGAAGTGGAACTGGGTAACGGTGCGCGTCTCGTTGGTTTGAAGGTTCTTCAGGTAGAAGCTTCTCACGAGGAAATCCTCACACCAGATGTGCTCAGAGACCAGGTTCACCTGGACGGGGTTGGGGGGAGGGCATTGGGAACATAAAGCCTCGTCCAGACACGGAGGGACTTGGAGGAGCCAAGGGCGAATCCCCCGGGGGAGGCCTGCTGGCTGACAGCTGATGGGACGTCCCCTCCCACTGACTCAGTTTTAACAGAGTTTATGCAGAAGATAACTTTGTGCGTTTTGATGTCACAGCTGCACTAGTCAAATTACCAGAAAAATGTGTTTGGATTCAAAGCTATCCCAGCTTTTGTCTTGTATTTCTAAGCCATATAAACCTTCAAGAACAACCGTACTTTCGGACAAATACCAGTGGGTCCCACCATAACTTAAATTTCACTGCAGTGGAGAGAAGACCAGAGGATTCACACAGAAGCCAAGACCTGACGTTCCTCAGGGTCAAGGCCATTCTCAGCCCCCTAAAAGCCACGACTGCGGGCTTTAGGATGAATCCTCATGCTTCCGCCACGGGCCTTTGGGATTCAGACTAATTTTAATGCAAAACAACGGATGCACACCGGCACTTGCTGAGCCGCCCGTGTTTGCTTGGTTCCTTGTTGATGTGGGTAGAAAGTCCGGCAAGAGAAGGAAGCTGGCCACCGGGCGGCCCCCGAGGAAGGGCCAGTCTCAGACACAAGCCCCTGACTGCCAGGCAGGGACCACTGAGCTGTGAGAACAGCAGTGGAGCCCTTCCTAAAACGGACCCTCTATTCCTCAGGGCCCGGCTCAATGGGCCTCCCCGGGAGGTAAATGTTTGGTCTTTTCTGTCTGGGTTTGGACTCAAGAAACTTTAAAGGTGAAGACCGTGCCATTACGGCAGAGCCGGAGGCGCCGCGGCACGGCTGCTGGGAGGGTCTGGGTATCTGGGGACCCCGGGGCCCTGGGGCTGCCTGCCCGCCCGCCGGCCTTCCCACGGGCGGACTCCCACCAGGGATGCTGCTCTGGGGCCTGTGGGCGGCGCTCTGGGCCGTACCTCGTAGATGTGGTAGAGGTTGGAGCCTTCATCTGGCCAGTAGTGGTAGCACTGCCGGACGCCGTTCTCCGAGAGGGAGGTCAGCATGACGATGACCACGCAGCCGCTCTCCCACACCATCTGCAGACAGAGAAAGGCCCACGGCCACCGTGTGACAGGCTGATCCCCCCACGGGACACGTGTGCTCACGGGGCTCAGAGACATGGGCCAGGTGTGCACCGTGCACAGACTGGACCCTCTTACACCACCTCTGAACACACCGGCCCCGCGGCTTCCAAGTTCCGTGAAATATTAAACAAAACCACCACCAGCGATTCATTCTGTGCCTCTTAAAACCTCTTCAAATCCACGTCCAGCCGTTTGGCCTCCCGACTTTTCATCTGTAAAGGGCACTTTCCGTAACGCACCCCGAAACAGGCACCAGGGCATCTGAGGCCTTCCCAGCGGCGGGCGGGCCGGCGCCTCTAGGGAAACGTCCCTCCTCCGTAGGGCACAAGCCGAAACTGGTCGACGCCATCGTTATTCTGCGTGATAGTTTTGCTTTGTCCCATCAGAGGCAGGCTCTGCGAGGACTCCGTTCAAAGTGCGTCACTGAAAGCAGTCGCTGGGATGTCACTTACTTACACATAATGTACCAGCGCTGTTCTATGAAAGCAACACCGATTTAATAATTCCTAACGGTCACGTGACAAGGCATCTCCGAGAACAGTGAAGCAGTGGACGGACATTCAAATGTGGAGAAGCCGCAGAGGACTTAAACCCGGCTCTTGGCTTTGTGGCTATGGGCCTGTGTGTTAACACCTGGAGCACAATTACGAAACCATTAATTCTATGGGCTACGCTGAGGCGGCAGTACCCACTTTTATTAGCAGATTAAGTTACAGAGTGAAGAGGAGTCTGCTCTTCCTGCCACGGGTTGTGTTAACGTCACAGAAGTATTTATGAGTAACGCATTTAGACGTAAGTGTAGTAGCTAAGAGAACTTCGATTTCTTTTATTAAAATTTTAAAATGTTTATTCATTTTTGAGAGAGAGAGAGAGCGAGCAGGGGAGGGGCAGGGGGAGAGGAAGACACACAATCCAAAGGAGGCTCCAGGCTCTGAGCTGTCAGCACAGAGTCCGATGCGGGGCTCGAACTCAAGAACCATGAGATCATGACCTGAGCCGAAGTCAGATGCATAACTGACTGAGCCACCCAGGTGCTCCCTATTTCTTTTAAATACAGAAATGACAACTCAATTAAAAATTTCTTCTAAAAAGTCCACATATCTCAAATATAAAATGCTTTTCTTTCATATTCGTGTAATTAATAACCCCTTTTAAATTGAATTTTATTTTTTAATTTTTATTAAAAGCATTTTTAAAATGTTAGTTCATTTTTTACAGAGACCAACAGCAAGCGGGGAGGAGCAGAGAGAGGGAGACACAGAATCCGAAGCAGCTCCAGGCTGTGAGCTGTCAGCACAGAGCCCGACGTGGGGCTTGAACCCACAAACCGTGAGATCATGACCTGAGCCGAAGTTGGACACTCTACTGACTGAGCCACCCAAGCGCCCCTTTCAGTTGTGTTTTAAAAACAGTCGTGTCCTGGGGCGCCTGGGTGGCTCAGTCGGTTAAGCGTCCGACTTCGGCTCAGGTCATGATCTCACAGTTCTCGAGTTTGAGACCTGCGTTGGGTTCTGTGCTGACAGCTCAGAGCCTGGAGCTGCTTCTGATTCTGCGTCTCCTTCTCTCTCTGATCCTCCCTTGCTCATGCTCTCTCTCTCTTTCTCTGGTCTCAATAAATAAAACATTAAAAAAAAAAAAACATTCGTGTCCAGGATATTTTCCTCTTTCCACACTGACTTATGTTCCCGCGTGGTGAGATCAGTTGGTACCATTAAGGCTCCTCCTCATGTATCGCTTATATTGGAATTTAATGGAAGTCGCTGTAGTGTTAATGAAAACGCCCACGAATAAATATGAATTGTGCCCCAACCCACACACTTGCATTTTCCGAGGTGCAAATCCCACAACGAGATAAGAATTCAAGGCACGTGTCCTTCTTGCAGCCCCCAGGCCCCCCGACCTGCCCGCTGAACTGGTCCTTCCAGCACATAACGGTTTAATGTGTCTTTAGAAGCTGGAGAAGCTCATTGAGGCCATTACGAAAATGAGGAGAAACACAGATTTTATGAGTGTAATAAAAATACAATGATCTAGACCATAAACTAATCATCTAACACTCGGCTTGTGCCACCCAAGTGTGACGTTAGGAAGCCCTCACTTGCAGAGGGGTCTCGAGCCGCGCGGCCCCGCTCATTGGTCTGCACGCGGCGCTTCCATTCAGGGCCCGCCCGGCTCTCTGAAGACTTGGTTAAGATTAAATCCAAATGAAACTTAATTTAAACAAACAATCCCAAAGGCACCCTTGGGGATAATATTTCTTTTTAGGTCACTGTGTGCGGGAGCAGGGAGGGGAATTTACTAAATCAAACAGGCGGCCCGCTCGGCGGCAGCATCACAAGGCGGTTGGCGGCTCCGAGCGTGTCGCCTGCGGGGCCTCACCTGTGCACGGTGGCTGGCGCGGGGCCTCACTGCTCCGGGCAGAAGGTTAGCGTGGGTTCCGCTGGGGACAGGCAAGTTCCGGCTAACTCAGCTTCCGTTTATACCCGGGGACAGGTCCCCCCAGTGCCCCTCGCTGGGCCTGGCTCCTGTGGGGGCAGCGCCCAACTCCAGAAGGGTGCTGTCTGTGTGCCAGTCCTCCTCCTCCAGGAAGCCAGTCGGCTCCGGGTCCCACCGGAAGTGAGCAGGGGTGTCCCGCGGGCGTACTGGTCTGCGGTCCTAACCATGACCCCTTGTCTGGTGTCAAGTGGATCACTTTTCCCAAACGGGAAGCCAGCGCTTCCAGCCCTGGATCGAAGCAAAGCTGCCAACACGTGTTAAACTGTGTCTTGAGGGCTGGACGGCGGGTGCAAGTTGGTGGCGCAGTACTCGGAGGCCGGGGGTCCCCCTTCCTGGGGAGCTTCTCGAATGCCCTGGGGCTGCTGCTCAGAAGCCCGCCCGGAAGGCCCAGGACGCCCCCATGTTACCGCTCTGCACGGCCCCGGGGTGTTTATGGTCCCGCCAACCCTTCCTGGCGACAGTGTGCTCGCGCTCAGAGACGGATGGGCCTGCTCAGTGTCACGTGCACCACCTGCCGATCCCCGCGAGACCACGTGGGCCAGGCTCCCTCTCCAGCATGACGCAGAGAAGACACTCATGGTGACACAGCTGCCCGTGGGGACCTGTGCACGGCCTGGGCAGCAAGCGAGGGGGTAACAACATTCAGTGGTTTAGACACGTGGCTCACGGGGCTGCTGTCTGATCCAACCCAGTGAGTCTACCGCAGCCTTGATAAGAAAAGCCGTATTGCTTTGTTCCAGGTCCGATTTTGTCTCCAGCAGAAGGGGGTTGCTGTCCTCACCCTTGGTACCTTCGGATGTGACCTTATTTGGAAACAGGGCCTCTGCTGATGTCACGGGGTTAAGAAAGGTCATGGGCGGGCCTAACCCAGCATGACGGGGCCTGGTAAGAAGAGGGAGCCCCGTGCGGAGGCACACGCGCACGGGAAAGCCAGTGAGGCCGAGGCGGAGACGAGTCGCTGGCCGCAGGTCCAGGACCGCGCGGGGCCGCTAGACCCTGGAAGGACGCCCCTCTGGACACCCAGCGGGCCCGCGGCTCTCAGAGTGGGCGCTGCTGTTGCTGTAAGGCCCCCAGCCTGTGGAAACCTGTCGTGGGGGCCCCAGACCCTGAAACGGCCCCTGAGCATCGTGGGGGTGGGAGGCCCACGTCTGCGCAGTCGAAAATCCAGGTTTCACTTTTGACTCCCCAAAAACTCAGCTACTAAGAGTCTTACTGGTGATAAGCAGCAGATCAGCACGTATTTTATCTGCTGTATGTATGGTTTGCTATATTCTCACAGTAAGGGAAGCTGGAGGAAAGAGAAGGTTATTAACAGAGTTGTAAGGAAGAGACTGCGTTTATAGCGCTGTCCTGTCCAGCATCCACGCGGAGTGGCCCTGGGCAGCTCAGACCCGAGCTCCAGGCCCTGCTTCGCACCCGCTGTGCGCCGCCCTCCCGGGCTCGGGCACCCGCCCTCGGCTGCACCTCCTGACCTAGTCAGAGCACGTGGAACAGACCCTAGTGCCTCTTCCTCCAAAGTCTGTTTTGAGTCCTAACTACTCAGCAAACCAAACTCTTTCAAAGCCCCGCTGAGAGCTGCTTCAAGGAGAGACGGCCCGGCCGAAGCAGCAACCGCCCAGGCCGTGCTCTCTGCCAGGCACCCAGCCCACCCCCCCCCAGGCGTAAAATCTCTCCTTACTGTACCTAGATCTCTTGTGATGTGTCCCTTTCCACCTTGCGTCATCCCTATCACGTGCCCACGTTTTCTCCCACCAGGCTGGCTTCTCCGAGGAGACTGGACGCTGGGCTGCCTGCCGTCTCCACCCTCCGCGGCAGCCCCGACCGTGATGCGGGACAGTGGCCGCTTGGTTGAAAACAATACATATGTTTCGAAGAGGTCATTTGAACATGTCTGTAAAGAGACAAGTCGGAGAAGAGAGTTGCCAAAGCCACGCCGGGGGGCGTCCTCGCAGGGCCTGCTTACTGTACAGGACAGCTGTTCATTTTCTAGTTTTTTTTTTAGCACATAAACCGTTCGCACTCCTGCAGAGCAGCTGGCACGAAGTAGACGGCTCCTCCCGAGCGGGCGCCGCACCCCTGCATCCCGACTGCACGCTTATTTCTGCTGCAGTCGCGGTCGTAGGTTGAACAGAGATGATCTTAAGCCTGGCGCTGAGGAAGGAGGCGGACTCATACTTTTAAGTAATGAGAAGTCAATTTTTGAGGTTCATAGCACGTGTGTCTTACTCCTTGTGAGCTCAGAGAGGCCACTGAGCTCAGCGTGGGCCTCGGGAGACCAAACAAGAAAGAACCAAAGGCTCTGCAGCACCTTTTGCAGGGGACACGCCCCTCCCCCGCCCAGAACACGGGCTCCAGCGACCGGCGCCAAGCCCTCCGAGGCTCCGGCTGCTGCTGTCCTGCGGGCACGGGCTCTGTGTCAAAGCCCGCATTTTGGGGACGGCGATCTAAGCAGGTGA